AGGTGACGGGCCCAGGTTCGTCGCACTGATGGAGTCTCTGCGCACGACAGGGCCACTGATTCCTTGCAGCAGTCGTTCGTTTTGTTCTACTGACAGCGTCGCGATTTTCTTCTTGTGCTGCGTCGTGATGACGATGATGATCTTTAAGAGGCACAATCGGTACTACTTCGTCCCATCGCTGCGGCCGATGAATTGCCCCTCTTTCGATCGCGGCTCCAGCGAGTTCTTACCCGGATCCCGTCGTACGTCGCACGTTGACCCAAAAATGACGATATCACGCAGATCTGACGCGGTCTTTGTCAGCACTTCGTGCGGAGACGCGCGTCACTCGTTCGCGTTCGTAGGGCTGCATTTCAAAACGTACGTCGCACAGTCGACAGCGTCACCCCAGAAATAGAGTGGCATGTTGCACGCGGAGATCATCGCTCTCGCCATGTTCAGCGCAATCCTGTGCATTCGTTGTGCCTTGCCGTTGCTTGCCTGATGCGCTTCGCTGATCTGGCGTGCGACACCTGTCGTCTGGCAGAAGAGGTCGGCATTTCTATACTAACATCCTCCATCGGTACGCAAATCCAGGTTCTTCCATCCGAAGCGTCGCTCAAAATACGCCAATAAATGTTCGAATTTCTTTGCTGCTTGGTCCGATATCTTGGTTAAGAACACACGACAGTAGTTGCTTTTGTGGTCAGGAAAGTTTACCAAGAAGCGGTTGCCCAAGCGGTCCTTTGGAATCAGAAAACTTTTTAGGTCCAATCAAAACACTCCCCCGATGCGCTCAATTGGCGAGTTTGCGCCGCTGTCCTGCTGGCTCTGCGCATTATTCTTCTGTTTGCTCTACGTGCACGTCACGCATGTGAGGCGACGACGGTCGGTGAGCTTAATACCAGAGTCCGAGGTGCGTGCGATACGCTCAATCGTATCGTACGTATGTGCCCGAGATGTTGGTGGAAGTGGATAAGCGATTCCACTTTTACGTCTCTCGCTGGATCTATCGCAACGTCGTCAGCCTTGAGCACCGCCATGATCACGTTGGCTGCTCCTTTCGCATGCCACGCTGTTGCCGTGACGAAGAGCACGTTGCTCTTATTTGTGACGTCGAATGCGACATCTCCGTCGCTTCTTTGCAGAAGCGATCGAGCGCCTGCTGTACGAAAGCTTGAAGCCCATTTCTTCCAGCTTCCCGAGCGACATAATATTGCAGGATAGCTGCGACTCAACGAAAACATCGATGAGCGTCACGACGCGCTTAAAGCCTTTAGCCGTTACGCAAAGTTGCATGCTTCCGACCTGCGTGAGCTTGAGTGCGTCGCCATCCGCCATCGCGATTTCGTGACTGCAGCGTTTGGCGTACGCAGCAGCGATGCGTCGTGCACCAAGTGCCGACTCGATCCACTATTAAAGACACACACGCTCTCGTCTCCCTAGTCACTTCGAACAGCATTGCACGACTCATTCCGCTGATTTTTGCGGCCCGCACGCGTTCCGCGCGTTCGCGCATTGCGCGCATTGCGCTGCGCTCCATCAGAGCCAAAACATACCGCTTTCTTCCTTGACCTCGTTCTTTGGACGTGCAGCCTCGCCAACGACAGTGTTGCTGCTGACGCTCTATCGGCAATACGCTTGAATGTGCCCGACCATGTCGCACCCATGGCACTTGCGCGTCTCCTTCCGCTGCACTGGCGCATCGATGTGTGCCGCCACGACTTCTTGACCGATCGACGTGGCTGTCATCTCGATGGACTGGGCAAAAAAGCAAACTCCTCGGCGTGTCGGAGATGGTCGATTCGATCCGGGTCGTACTTGGCTTTAAGCACAAGTGCAAGTTTTGCCGACGCGTGGTTGACGATTTTGTCAAGCACGAGCGGGTGGACACCGCCTCTTGCGTCGCCGACCGCCAATATGTACAAGAAGTTCTCGGGCCACGTGCGCTTGGAATCCTTCCGCTGTGCGAGCAACTATATGGCCTGTGCAGCAGTGATGAACGTCTTGAATGTAGCAAGCATCCGTCCCATCACGTAGTCAAGAGTCTGCTGCTCGAGCCACTCATATCAACTTGCTTGTAATAATAGCGCTCGGCGGCGCCGCGTAGATGGTGTCCGAGCAGGTCGACTTTAATGTCATCCGTCCACAGCAATCTGTACGACGCTTGCGCTTTGTTGACCTGGCGGAGGAACGCGCGTCCCCAGTCCTAGAACCCCGAGCTGAGACCGCGGTAGAGCTCAGTTCCATCGAACATGCGCACTGTCAGCTTCCGCTACCGCGCGTCCGGCGTTCTGACGTACATCTGCTAGTGCCCATACCTCGGCGGCTGTGCTGCGGCAGACGCCGCGCCATGCGCACCAGCGGTGTGTTCCTCGGCCGTCGCTGGCATCTGCTCTGGCGCAGGGGCTGGTGCACGTGCACGCATTTGCTGCGGTCGCGGCGGCATTACTGGGGAGCGAGGGGACCGGCGAGTACTCCTGACTCGGCGTCGGAGTGCGGGCGAGCAGCGCTCTGGCTGGCGGCTTCCGTTCAGGATGCTCGAGTGCATTGAATCGCATCGTTGCCGCACCGAGGTTCGCGCAGTGCGCCGATGCGAGCAAGCCACTCTCGATTGCCCCACGCATCCGCTCGTCTTCATCGAGCTTGATCTGGCTCAGCTCCGTGTACTCCATGCACAACGAGAGCGCATCGTGAATCTTGTCCTTCTTCGCCGAGCCCCTTTCGTTGCTGGCACATCCTCAACGACGGCGGCAGCACTCGGCGAACGCGCTGGAGATGCTCCACGTCCCGGTGAGGCTCTCGCTTGGCCTGCTAAAGCCGATGCTGCTTTGGCGTCTTGTGGTACAGCCATTGGGCTCATAACCTGTAACAAAGGATGGACGTTTGGTGTAATAGGTGAAATAGATTCTGTGTCCATCTCTTACTTTCGTCGCTCTTGCTGTGCTAGCTAACTGCGATCTCTCTACACCAACCACTTCTAGCGTCGACCTAGACTCTTCACACACCTCTTCGCTGCCTCCTATGCGTCGCCTAGCGCAACCGAAAAGACGCGTCCTTTTGCGTCGCCAGAAACTGCTATACGACTAGACATGCAATTTCTAACAGTATCTATTTTGAATAAAGAAGTTTTGTCAAAAGTTATAGTGTATTATGAAATCAGCTGGATATTGGTGTAAAAAAGTACCGGCTATTAGTGGAATTAAACGTTTATTTAACCCATAAAAATATAGAAGCATTAGTAAGTACAAAAGTAGGTAAATCCTCAAATTGTTCGTCAAAATTAAACATATAGTCTTATAGCGTTCTCATTTAAAGTCAGAATTAATGAAAAAATTTGTAAGAAAATTATTATTTACATAGTTTAGAAGCTGTTTTCGTTTTCCCTTGGATTTTAACTTTAAGCTCTAATTTTTCAATGAAGCGGGTCTTTCTGGCTTTTACTGCTGCTATCATTGACGATGTTATCAAACGCTTTATGTGAAGTCCGTCAATAGCAATATTACTAAATTTTGCCCCAAGGCATTTACTAAACAATGCTTGTTCTCTTTGTAATGCTGGCGAGCATTTGTCCGGTAAAAATTATAACTTGGGTAGCAGTCATTGCGAGTAATGCCTTCTTATTGTCCTTTTAACAGTTCTTGACATGTCGTGTAATAACTGTACACCAGTCGACGCACAAACAGGATTAGTCTAATGGCGTTTATAACGTTTCTTTGCACTTCAAATGCCTTTAATTTGGTGGATCTTCTTCGCGAGATATAGCAATGTATCAATCTATATGCAATTCTTATAATGCTCGAACGAATTGCTCAAAAGATTGACAGTAGCATGAAAAAATTCCAACTTACCCTGTCGCGATAGCTTGTAACTCGGAGAACGTCTTGACGACAAAGCTGCGGCAAAATTGGTTGGACCACTTCACCGTCGACAAATGAAGATCAAGTCCGCACTTTACGAAGTACTTGATATGCGTTTTTGTCTCGCCACAAGCAGCAAACTGGTGGCATGCTACAGCATTAAAGGTGGTAGCGTCCGTGCATTTAATTTTGTGGCGGGCGAAAGGACTGGAATGCCATTGACATCGTCTAGCACGCCGTCAGCAGGGCTTTTAACGAATAGCCACCACGTCATCGCGACGAGTTAACAACGACCTTCCGCATTCGAAACAGACTTGCGTATTCAGAATATCACAAAATCGTTCGACACCTCTGTTTGATAACAGGAGAAATGGGTCAGCTTGAAGCGTAAGGCCAGGAGCACAGGCAAGCTAAAAGGGAGGGGATCAAACTCACCAAGCAAAATAGTGACCAGTCGGATGGCATATTTGAGTGTTGGAATACACATCAACACTGCAAAAGCACGGGTCGTTGTCATTTGCCACATAATTTATTGAGTCTTCTCAGAGAGGATCTCGTGACAGGGGGTAGGACGTACGGCAGAAAGTTCAAGACGGTCCGCCCTGCTCAAATGAAAAAGCCCCAGAACCCGCACGAGGTCTGTCGTAGCGATGCCATCGGCAACACGATAGATTGCATCTTTTGTAAGCGGCAAGGAACGATGTCAAGGAGTTGAGATTAACACAAGTCAGCGACGCAAGTGCTTATGTAACTCCATTCGTGGCTTGTATAGTTGGCATTGTCTTGTGCCATAAATGAAATGGCAACATTGGTTCTCTTTTGTAGACATTCGCTACCTTGAGGTGGAGAAACCCTGGACATTAACACAACGCAGCAAAGCCAAGCTTTCTTTTATAAGCACGCGTTCAAGCCACTGTAATGTAACAAATCTGTATTTCCCATCCCGTAGAGAAAGTCATGAAAAACTATGGGGTATTGGCTCCTCTTTGTCTCGCTTCCTTCCCTTAACATACTGTTAGTTATGGACAAAGAAGTGCAAGATACAGAATTCTCTTGTGTCACGGCTGTGTGTTATCAATCCATTCTCTATCTTGCCAAGCAAAACACAGAAGTGTATCGTTGGCGCCAATCGTCGTGGTCGGTTGAAAACTCAGGCGAATAATGACCCGCCAGTTTCTAATGCAGGAAGCAGTGTTCCCGCCGCTGCAATTGTCGGAGTCAACCAAAGACATGATTATCAACACAGCGTTGATGCAACTCACCAGGGCTTTGCGCAGCTACGACAAGTTTTAAAAATGGCAAGCCTCTCGATCGCCAAGTCTTCGGTATCAATTGCATTCGGCTATGTGGGAACCCATTAAGACATGCGAGCAACTTTCAGTCTATCGCCGAATTCCATCAGGCGATGTAATAGTCACAACAACAGCACGAGGTTCAAGAAGACGAGCACGTAGTCGATCACTTGAAGCCAGATGGTGCTGCTACAGGTGCTGGCTCAGTAGCTTTAGCTCCGCAGGAGTCCATTACGGACAAATTGTGGTCGAATTTGACTCCAGCTTCAGGACCCAAAGCCAACAGTGAGTGGACGATGTCCACGCTCCTCCAAGTAGGAGCCATTAAAGGAGCGCTGGACGACGTCATGTACGGTTCGTCTTCATTTAGTGCTATGGATACGTTAATCAAGTCCTCTTACAAAGCTGAAGAGGTCGTAGACGCAGACACATTGTATGAAATTTAGGGCCCAACTTCAAATGAACCGTTTCGATTTGTTCGGATCAAAATGGGTTGTTAAGTCCACATCACCTACCGTTAAGGCTTTTGTGTGACCACGAGACTTGACTATTATTGCGGCAACAGGCCTGTTCAATTGGCTAGGTGGTGAACAAGAGGGGTATCAATTAATGCACTCAGTCGACCTCGGCAGAGTTTGCAGTCCTCTTGAAAGAAAGCAGAATGTGCGTGGTCAAGTATCGTCATATTATCTGTATCGTCAGACTTCAACAACACTATTGACGTGTACATGAAGACAAACTTCAAATCGAAAGGCTCCATTTACGAGAATGTGGCTATGGTGGCGGCAGATAACAGTCTGGCTTGACTCACTGCTTAAAGTTTGCACTTTGTGCTCAAAAAAAAGAAGTTGTCGTGGCTTTTGGCTCACCCGAAGACTCATGAGATGAATCTGGGATCGGCACGGCCGAGTACGACCCGCATCATGAAGCGCAACAACTGTGGAGTTTGTGTAAGGCCTATTGACACTTTTTGTGAGGACATAGCTGTCGTGTTTGCAGTGCTCGTGCATGCTCTATGTGCTACACGGCGAAGAAGTTGGCCTGTCCGAGTCAACGACACAAAACACTTGAGCAACGTTCCGTTGTAGTTTGTACCCAGTGTCTCACATATGCTCGAAACCTGGCGTCGCTGGAGATTGCGAAGCAGGAAGCTGCTGAGCGCAATCTTTGGAATCGGTAACGCGGCACTCACCGAGATATGGAGGCATCTTCACGCAGCATTCGTGGTCGTAGTTATAGCCGCTTTGACATTGACAAGCTCCGACGTGGAACTGTGAGTAGACGAGCGTACAGCGAACGAAAACAGGAGAAAGCAGAGATGAACTTTTTTTTCTACTGACCCTGTGCCGGACTTTAGGTCAGATACATTGTCTGAGAAAGATGAAATCGAATGTGAAGGCGGCTTGAGATTATAACTCGGAGACGGAAGACGACGACGACGCACTGGAAGGTTCCGGCCAGATCCTGCTGCCGTTTGACTTGCAGTCTCGTACGCAAGATACGAGGAAAGTAAGCAATATCAGAAAACCAAGGAGTAATGCAAAGTTTTGCATCGCGGTTCAGCGAGATATGCGGGATATCGATTCCGAAACAGAAGACGAGCATAATTCGACCATTTTATCATGAGCTTGCAGGCAATGTCATTGCATTCGGAGGTGCCGATATTCGAAAATTCGCCGCCTGAAGCTGTAGTACAATTTGCGTGGAGAGAAATTATGCGATCTCCAATTAACCACGAGGATTTAGAGCATTTAGCAGCGTTACCATTATCGCCACTGCCGTCCATAATACCATTTTCGAATGAGGTTAACGTGGAAGGTGAGCGAGCGACGGTAAAGACGTTGCCTACGTTACAATGTAGGATATCTCGTTTCCAAATGGGAACTACAACCGAGGAGGTCTTAGCTTACTTCGCAGAGCTTTGCAATGCTGCCGAAAATGTTTAACACGCCGCGAGAAATCATACCATTGCTCACTTAGACCACAGCAAAACCAGCACCTACCATTAGATTTGACATGAGTGCGGTGGATTAAATACAATCTTTGTGTGACAAGCCTCAAATGAAATGATAATAATATACTGTTGCATATAATTTCATTTTTCAGTCATTGACATTAAACATTGATTTTATATGGGTTTCCAAAAACTACATTGCTCTTCAATCCTCATATAAGACCTAAACCAATTCATTTTGTTTCTTTGTTTTGAATTAATTCTCAACAATACGCTTTACATCTCCCTTGTCGAACGTGGCATTTACTTACACTTGATAAGCTTGAAGCGTAGCGGGCGCACCAAAATGAACTTGGTCGCATTTGAGTTGCACGGCCATCTGACGGATGGCACTGGCGCTGCGAAGACAACCCATGACGCGATCGTCCTTGGCGGAGCCAGAAATATCTAGACGTTCGCGGGTTACCATCCGGACACGAGACACGCGGTGGGCAACTCCAATTACGCAAAGCACAAGAAGCGAGAGGCATATGGAAAAATGCACGAAATTGGCGTTGACGAAATATATCACCGTCAATACCAACAACACGATACGACCAGTATACGCAATCAGATCAAGTAAAAAACCAATTCCATAAGAGTTGAGGCCCAGACGTATCTCCAACTGCGCCAAAGGAACAAATGGACAGCAGCAGACCCACCAATAGTAGGCCGTCCGCATGTCCGCGTCATGCAAGTTGAGTAACCACGCGTTCATGCGCAATCCATTGGGATCAAAGTCCGTATCCGTTGAATCTGGTCTTAGTGCCTTGTTATCAGGAGTTAAAACTGTCACGTAATCGCCGTTGCTGACGCTTTCACCCACAAAACCAAGATCACTGGATGATGTAGTTAAAGGAAATTGTGTTTGTTTCTTGTCGGTCATCGCGGTTTTACTGTTTCAGGTTATACTGGGCTAATTCCGTGATGGTCTTGTAATTCAGATGTGTGCCTTGCGTACTTGGAAAAGAAAGAGGAGACGAGTTGATTTTCTAGATCCAGTGACACTAGAAAATCTGGATTTAGAATATACCCTTTCAAGTTAATCGATTGGCTTGATAAGGATGACAAGCTGCTTACTTTAATCAACCTATGATATAGAATACATGTCAATGCAGAAAAGGATCCGCAACCTTCTTCTGTGGTTATGATGGGGCTACTTGCAGCTGCCAGGGCATATCCAGCACGGCCGGCTATACATGAAACTTAAAGCTGAATGGTAACATTACTGCCTGACTACAGTAACTACGTATAAAAACTGCTGTCTGATGGATGGGGAGCAAACTCAATAATCACATTACTAACACGTTGTACTGCTTGATTGGCAAGCGTATTACGCATCAATTATTACAGAATATAAATATTAAAGGTAGATGCTTCTCTACAATAATAGATGTCATCTTTCTAAAAATATATTACACTACAAAGGAACATGACGTAACGTAGAGCGTGCGACTCAGTATTTTTTTTAACGGCTCGCAAGGGATTCAACATTGTCACCTGATCGACGCCGTCCCAGCATTTTACTTTATCGTTAGAAATGCTTTCCATTACGACGGCGCCATCGTCACGCGCATTGAGCGCAGTGTAAAAAACGAAGTATGGCCTGTTTACCGTGAGCAGCTTGCTAGATACATCGATATGATGGATACACGTATCAATATGTTAGTGTGCTGTTGCTATTAATTGCTTTTATCGTTCGGCGAAATGATTTGCAACGCTGGAATCATCTTGTCAAGAGGATCGCCGGCCGGCATTTTCATGTTAAAGATAGAGTATTTCCAAATTTAATTTGTACATGTTGCTAATAAAGCTTTTGCCATTCGAGACGACTCATTCGTGCATGCGTGCGGCGTTAGACGCTAGTCAAGCAAGACGAGTCGATATTAATCTCTTGCGAAAATAAATGCTAGAGTGACCCGCTCCTTTAACAAAATAAAGATTATGAGATTTGGAGTAGATGGTTTGCTTCTGGAGGAGCCACGGTTTGTCAAAGGGATTAAGATGTATTGCAGACAAGTAAGTAGCCCAAAGATGGTCAAAATGTGAAGAGACGGAGTCACTCTGTCTCGCTCGCTAAAGTCGATCGAGAGGATGGGATACATGATGGCGGTGCATTCGATCACTAATCGAGTAATAGTATCAACATGATAGAGAAGGCTTTGAGCAGCGTAAAGTATTAAACGGCTAACAGAAAGAGAAAAGACGGGCAAGAGCGCAACACTGAGTGCAGCGCTCAATTATATCATGTGCGACTTTGCAGATGAGCAAAGAGCAAGCATGTAGTCGGGTGTAACGGGTTTACACGAAGGTGTGTATTTTATATACACACCTGCCACACCAATATGGTGTGGCTGTACCTTAGGTACAAAAGTAGGCTTGATGTGACCGTACCTGAAGCACGAAGGGTCGCATCGAGGCATAGAGCCACGTGGTAACTATATTTATTTTAAAGTATAGTGGCTTTGCATGTTTGCATAATACTAACAAACTATCGAGCCAGTAATCGTGACTAGCACTAAGTATAGAGTAGGTGCTTCTATATTTAATGTTAGAGGATAAACATACATATAAATCAGTTTCAAACCCGCTCTGTAAGCATCACTGCTTGAGCTTTCGATTCCTCCTGAGGAAGCTGTATCTTTGATACTAGTCTCTCTGAGACTCGGTTGCGACAACCGGTAGGCACAAGCTTACGAGCTAGCCTAAGAAGGGTTAAGCACCCTAGGACATCTAAGCTCTCTGAGCTTGTCTTGCTCTGCACATAGTGCATACGTAGCTTTGCTACAGTAGTATGACTACTACATCTGCACATAGTGCATCTGCACATAGTGCATAAGTAGCGTAGCTACAGTAGCTCGGCTACACCTGGTAGCACTTGTAGTCAATCCCGCACCTAGGTTTGCGACTACTTCTCTGTGTGAGAATGGACATCGATGAGATGTCAGCGATTGGCCTGTCACAGGCACAACAGGAAGGGTTGCAGAAGCTGCTCCCTATCCTTGGCCCTAAGGGCGTGGAGTACATTATCGCCCAGGGCAAAGAAGAGGTTAACAAGCATAATCATATGCTTGAAGAGTATAATGAAGCTCTAGTCGAGCATCTAAAGGCATAGATACCTTTGTGGTGGAGTGGGTTCTCAAAACTGCGTATTGAGACCCCAAGCCATTCACTGTGCTGGACTGCCGACTGTCGGAGGGGGTACCCCGATGCCACGTACAGACCTTCTCTCACCTTGTGTACCCGCCGGCTGACGGGTTGCACTCTTAGGAGGACTTGGTTGAGATGTGATGTCGGCCTTGAAGGAGGTCGACCTTGGGGTGCCTCGAGTGGGCATACTTCACTCGGTAGGCGGGTAGGTGACCCCTTGGTCAAATAGATCGAGGGTGGACTTATGACCCAATTCTCCAGGGGAGATTCTCAAGCCTGGACTTTCCTTGATATCTCAGGGATATTAACCGCCTAACCTTTACTTGATCTCGAACCACTTCCAGCGGAATGCTCTAGGAATGGCTCGTGATGCCACAGGGGATTAAAAACGCCCCTTCTACCTTCAATCGTATGGTTACGCACGTTTTACGGCCATTTCGAGACTTCGCACCTAGCTATTTCGACGATATCTTCGTACATAGCCACGCCGCTAAAGGCGCGACGGACCTTGACGTTCATTTGGGTCACCTCCGTAAGGTTTTTGAAGCCTTGCGTTTATGTAAGCTGGACGCGAACCTGAAGGCGTGTATCTTCTGCGCTCTAGAGATCTTTGTGCTAGGTTCCTACGTCAGCGCGAAAGGTGTTCGCGTTGACCTTGAGAAGGTCGCGTCGATCTGCGCCTGGCCGGAGCCAACAAACCCAAAGCAATTGCGTCAATGGCTTGGTCTTGCCGATTATCTGCATCATTACGCGAATGTTTTTGCTGCAGTTATTCACCCGCTGTCCCGGCTGTTGAAGAAGGACGCCACGTGGGCGTGGCGTCAGGAGCATCAAAGTGCTTTTGGTGCTATTAAAACGAAAATGTCATCAGCTCCAATTCTAGCCTTGGCAGATTATTCCAAGCCATTTCATGTCGTTTGTGATGCGAGCAACTTCGCGATTGGGTGTGCTGTGATGCAACATGATGATAATGGCCACGAACGTGTCGTGAGTTATCAGTCTCGGCAGTGAAACCTGCCGAGCGTAATTATCCTGCTCATGACAAAGAGTTGCTAGCGATGCGTTATGCACTTGTGAAGTTTTGTGTATATCTGCTTGGTGAAGATACGCTCGCACTCTACACGGATCATGCATCGTTGCGGACAGCCACAAAAAGTCCGTACCTTAGTCAGCGCATGGCGCACTGGCTATCGTTCTTCTCCGAATACAGCTTTGTCGTCTACTATAAGCCTGGTTCGACAAACATTATCGCCGGTGCGTTGTCGCGTCGTCCCCATCCTCGCGATGAAGGTCCAGCTCGCTCCTCTATTTAGGACGAAGACGAGGAATGTGCAGCCTGTGTGGCTCTTGGAGTAAACACGGCCGCTGTGAGCGCGGTCGATCCGCTCCGTACTGGCATCGCGACGGCATACCATCGCGAAAAGTTCCTGTCGCTACTCTTGATGTACTGTCCAGACCCATTGGATGAGGCGCTGTGCAAACTGACAGCGCCGACACGCGCCCAGGCTTCTCGTTACACGATAGTTGGCGACCTGCTAATGTACCAGGTCGATCGATTTGATCCTCCTTTGCATCGTCGTTCCACTCGATAATGATGTACGTGCTCTCATACTCCACGAGAACCATGACAGCGCGACGAGCGGTCACCTAGGACGGGAGAAGACGTACCTCGTGCCTTCACGTGATTTTTAATGGCCCCATATGTATAAGTGGGTTCGTTCCTGCGAGACATGCCAACGCGTGAAACCAGCTCCTCCTCTCAAGCTCCGCTGACTCCACTACTAATCGCCACCGAGGCGTGGCGATCAGTTAGCATGGACTTTGTATTTGGCCTTCCAGAAGACTTGTAGGAGCGCGCTGGTATCTTCGTCGTCGTTGACCGGTTCAGCAAGATGGTGCATCTGGCTCCGGTCACCTCATCAATAACTGCGGCAGTTACGGAGATACTCTTCTTGGACATGGTCTTCCGGCACCATGAAATGCCCACTACAATTGTTTCGGATCGTGATCCCCGGTTCTCAGCCGCCCTTTGGTCGCGGCTGTTCGAGTTACTAATACCAGATTGTTAATGTCTACTGCGGCGCACCCCAAAAACGACGGCCAGACTGCACGTGTGAACCGCGTATTTGAAGAAGTGCTGCGAAGTTACGCCACGTCATACGAGTCATGGAGTCCTTTCCTCCCCATGACATAATTTGCATTAAATAACTCCGCTCACGCTTCAACGGGATCGACCTCCTTCTTCGTCAATAGCGCGCGTCATCCATGCGTGCCTGTCCTTCTCGGCTTAAGAGGATGATTCTACTCTTGTTCGGGGAGAAACCCCACCGGCGTTTTGGAGTTGACGAAGTCCGCAGCATCGAGCGTCGCGGATGCACACGATGACGCCTCGCCTTTCCCGGCGTCGCTAATGTGGCAATGACTCGCGCTGCTTGCCAGTGTAATCTGACTCCGTTTTCGGTACAGGACGCTACAGAATTGGCTAGCGAAGCTTTGTTTACTCCTACGCGTCGTGCGTTTCCATACCTTCGTCGTCCGACAGTGCGTCGATCGATCCCTCGAGTCGTAGTGCTTTGCCGCCGATTGCTCGTCTCACTGAATCGGCGGCTATCGACGCATATGTGGAACAACAACAGTCAGTTGTACGATTTGCTCGCAATGCGCTCGCGAGCGCGGTTGACAAATAGAAGTCGTCCGCGGATCAACGCGGACGCAAGAATTTAGAGAAACTCTCCG